CTTAACTTCAGCAATCACTGAACATGGCTACAAAGTCTCTGCAACTCTTGCAACTCAGAAGGGCGCAAAGCCAGTGCTGCTATGTACTGCATTGTTATTTGCTACTTCCGCAAATGGGAGCAGGTCAGTCCAATTATCTTGCTGAAAATTGACATAACATCTTAGGTAATGCTCCAATATACTATTGGCATGTTCACAGGCCCTGTTAGTTTGAGGATGATGCAAGGACCTAAATCCTTGATTGTCCCTAGTAATTTTGAAAACTTCTGCCAGAATTGGGAGGTGAATTGTACCTCTTGATTGGAGATAATCATTTTGGTGGGATGACCTTGAGGGAGTATCTTGAGGAGATACATTTCAATTCCTCAAGCATCCCCCTTCTCATCTCCCATCCCTATAGTTCATGGCAGTCTGTTTCCACATAACTGTGAAGCACAGCAAGTATAATGTGACAGCTGACAGGGGGGTTATTGTTTTTTAATTTTAATTTTTCCTATATACTATGTTTTTATTGTTTGTAAGCCTCCTAGAGTCACTCTGAGCGAGTAGATAGCTATACAAATTTTTTAAATAAATTGTGCAAGGAGCTTTTTCTTTAAATGATGGTTGTGACCTGGGTTTAGTGGTGAGAGCACTAGATGTAGAAATCCAGTTCAGTGTTGTGTCCATCTGGGGATGCCCATGAAGGTCATTCATTTAAAGTCTTTGGAGCCTGTTGTCAATCATGTTTTTGATTGATGGTGGCTGTATGTATCCTGTTTCCTATCTTGAAAATATTCCTTAAGGATATGTAGCCGCGCGTGCACTTCTAAACCGGTAAGGAAGGTAAATAGATTTCACCCCTGCTCAAGAGGGGAGGCATTGATGCTTATACAAAAGGAACAAGGTTTGAATGGTGATGCCATGCCTACAATCTTGTTGATCCTAACACCCCCACCTCCACAACTGAGTAGGGAAGTAGAAGAAGTTATTTCAACTCTGCTAACATAATCAATTCACAGCTCACTTCGTGGTAATTGTGGTTGCAAGTCCTGCTTTGCCTACAGCCCCCAACTCTCCTCTGAGCCAGATAAGTGCTGCTTTGCCACCTAAATCTTCTCTTTCTTCTCCTTTTTGGAGAGAAAAAGTCATTTTATTTATTTATTTATTTATTTATTATTTTATTTAATTTTTATACCGCCCTTCTCCAACAGGACTCAGGGTGGTGAACAGTCGAGATAAAACATAACATATAAAATTTAAAAAACAGTTTAAAAGACATTAAATAATTTCGGCCCTCAATTTAAAACAACCCAGTTAAAACCAATTTCAAATTAAAACCGAAAGGATGGGATCAAGCCTTTATCACTTTCTGCATTCTTGCTTCTTCTTCTTTTTTTGTATATATTTTTTATTTTATTTTAAAATATACATCAACATTAATAAATTAACAGTGTGGCATCTGGGTATCATTCATTTTGATACAAATAACAATAATGATATTAATAATATTTGTTACATTAGTCAAACTTTTGTACTCTTAGTGTTAATACACGTTTGTATTAAGATATAATCCTTCATTATTTAGTTGTTCAGTGTTTCAATGTGTCATTCTAATGCTAATCACAATATTATTTGAGCATATATAGTAATACCATCTTTCAATCTCTAATCTTTCCAACTAGTTATTGCTTTTATTCTATTATATAAAAATGTGTATACTAATATTCCCCTTATTTCTTATTCCTACCTCTATTTTAGCTTTTAGTCAGGCCACCATTACTAATCCTAATGTTGATACAGGTGTTTGTATTAAGATATAGCATATTTTTCAGAGTATAAGACACTCCAGAGTATAAGATGCACATTACTTTTTGGGGAGGAAAACAAGAAAAAAAAATTCTGCCTCTTCCTACCAGCATCCATTGGTATTCATCCTTGCAGCAAATAGCAAAGAGCCTGGTCAGCTTCAGCAGGTTATCACAGCCTGATTCAGCATGAGCAGCTGATTGGCAATTGGATCAGCCTTCTGGAATACCGCCGATCAGTTGTTCCAGGCTGCAGGGATTGCCACAGCCCATCGCTGCCTCCGCACGTCACACTTTTGTCCTTTGCGTGTTGCATTTTTGGCCTCCGCACGCTCTGTTTTAGACCCGTTCCAAGCTGCCGGGATCGCCACAGCACATCGCCGCCGATTACCGCCTCCGCGGGTCACATTTTCAGCCTCCGCACATCGTGTTTTCAGCCTCTGCACAGCCTATTTTTGGCCTCCATGCATCACATTTGCAGCTGGTTCCAGGCGGTGGGGATTGCTGCCGCTGCTTCCCGCAGCATGCAGAAGCCAAAAACGCAATATGCAGAGGCTGAAAACATGATGCGCAAAGGCAGTGATAGTCGGTGATGTGCTGTGGTGATGTGCCCACAGCCTGGAACAGGTCTAAAATGGAGCATGCAGAGGCCGAAAATGGCTGAAGGGCGAGGGCCAGTGGGTGGGCAGGGCTCAATATTTGGTGTATAAGATGCACCACAATTTTCACCCACTTTTAGGGGGGAGTGTGTCTTATACTCCAAAAAGTACAGTACTCCTTCATTATTTAGTTGTTCACTGTTTCTATGCACCATTCTAATGCCAATCACCATATTATTTAAACATATATAATAATAGCATATTTCAGCCTGTAATCTTTCCATCTAGCTATTGTTTTTATTCTATTATATAAAAGTGTGTATTCTTATTTCTACCTCTATTTTAGCTTTTAATCAGGCCTCAATTATATTAAAAGGCAATTCCTTTCTATTAATCATCTTTTGCCCATTTTAATACTTCAGTTCTTATTTGTTTTTTGGCTTGCCTCCCATACTCCTCTCTTGGATCTTTGTCTCTATCTACATCCATATCTTTACTATTCAGTCTAAATATTTCTCCCATCTCTACCATCTTATGCTGCCAGGCCTCCAAAGTGTCTGTCCAAGCCCCTATCTCCCTTTTGAAAGTATCTTCCTGCTTATTCAAATCCATTTTTAAATCATTTAAAATACTTTTTCCTTGATTTGTTTCAATCATTATTATCTTTATTGTCTTCTCCTTCTTGTCTTCTTGCTTTATTTGCTGATTCGTCTGTTCTATCTTTTCCTCCATTTTATCTGTTGTCTCCTCCCTTTTCTGGACATTTTGATTTTTATTCATTGTCCCTTGTAGAATATTTTTTATTTTCCCATCTATGCCATGCATTAGGTTCTTCATCTCCCTGTGGTTTTTTTGTCACAGTGTCATTAATGCTTTGGAACATTAGTGCCATGTCTTTTAAAATTCCACTCATTTCCCCCTGGTGGAGCATCTCATCTTATTTTAGTAAGTCCCACTCTTGCTCAACAGTCCAAAAACCATATATACAGGCCTAACATTGCTCCTCAGAGAGTACAATAATCATAGTTCTTTATATCCCAGGATTATTTGATCAGTTCCATTTAGGTAGTCCAGGAAGCTTTCCAAATATCTCCTTGCATCCACTCTATAGATTTAATCATATATCTGAACATTCAAGAGTCACTTTACTTGGGTATCTTCCTTGTTCTCACAATTAAACCTGCAGTAGTCATAAAGAAGATAAACATAGAACAGTAAGTATCACCACAATCCTCCAGATAAATGTTGTTTATTTTTCTTATCAGAAATCTCCCCAGACTTGTAGGAGTATAGTATATTTTCCATTCATCAGTAGGTTGTGCCCTCAATTTAAGTTTCAGCATTGTCTCAAATCTGGCAAGTTTTTAAATCCAATTTTAATTAGATTTATAAAAACAAAGTCAATTATTTAAGTAGATAGTTCCAGGATTTTAAAATGCCTTTCCAAAACAGCTGCTACCCTGTTTAAAAGTCCAATTCTATGTTTTAGAAGTTTTTTTACTTTTCTCCCCTTAGTTCCTTTCTTTTGGGTCTGGGATTTTTTTCTTTAAGTGGTTGTTCACTGCTTTAACAGATCATTCTAACAGTCTCTTTCCCTGAATTTTTTTTCCCTCTTAGGGTTAGATTCTAGGTAAAAAAGGAATCATCACACCTAGTCCCAATCACTGTTCATCTACATTGCTCGTGCACATTCTTTGTTGTCTCGGCTGTCCCAGCTTCTCGGCAACCATAATGGCTGCCACTTCTCCTCATTGTGGATGAGGGGGAAGAAAGCCAAGGGTCAAGCGGGAGAGTTGTGACTCACCACAACCTGAAGGATGCCCCTCTTTTCTTCGCTACCCCTACAGGGTGGCTTTAGCTTCTTTTGGAGCCCTCCAACGGGGAGAACTTGGCATGGGAGTGCAGAGACCACTCCTTATGTCCGATCCCACCGCGATGTCAGCCGGAAGTCTGCATTCTTGCTTCTGACAGACAACCATATTGTTCCATTCCTTTTTTTAAAAAAATTCCTCCTCCTTTTTTCTTCTCACAGTCAGCCTTGAACCACTTTCTCCTTTCTTTCTAACCTTTGGGCCTGAGAGCTCAGGAGGCAGCCACACTACCAAACCACATACTACCAAAAACAAAAACTTTTTTTTCAGGTCACAAATGCTAGACATGCCTCTGTTCTTGTTTTCAAGGAAAAGGAATAACCATTAAGGGTTTCTTTGGTATTGACTCCCATAGAAAAAATGCAGGTCTAGAAAGCAATTTATGTAGGAGCCTCTTCATCAGGCTACTTCATATATAACAATATTGCATTGCCCCATGCTGAGGGACAGGATGAATCAGGAACAAACCCAATGGAACTTTCCACAAGTCCAACCGTTGCAGGGGAAGATGGTCCTACCTTATTCTCATTTCAGGTAAACTACAGTAATACAGCTTCTCAGTCCTCAAAATAAATCAAGGTCATAGAATTGGCCTCCCAGAGAGTCAGTTGGGAAGCATCACCTACAGTGCACTTTTCATTATTTCCAAAAAAAAACACCTAGACAACTTAACTGGCATTTCCATCATGTTAAACAGTTGTCTTCTCGATGTTCACCTTATTTGTTTGTGTGTGTATATTTAGAATGCCTTTGTAGCTTTCCACAAGGATGAGGATCTGGTGAAGAAATATTTGAATTCCCTCCTAATTGGAGAGCTTGCCCCAGATCAACCATGCTGTGAGCCAACAAAAAATGTGAGTATTGGATGATCTCAGCTGTTGGATTTCTTTTGCAGAACTTTTATTTTAAATAGTTAAAATAACTATATGTGCCTGTGCCTGTGCCTATATCTGAATCTGAATCTGAATCTGAATCTGAATCTGAATCTGAATCTGAATCTGAATCTGAATCTGAATCTGAATCTATCCCCATCATAATAACTCCTTTCAGGGCAAAGAACATTATACAAAATGCAGAGGCATAAACAAAACTAAACCAAAGGAATTAAAGATATAAGGTAAAAAAAAAAAAAGGAAAAAAACAGCTGAATCTAGGTTACATCTGTACCAGGGATGTCAAACTCAATTTCATTGCAGGCTGGATCAGCATTGTGGCTGTCTTTGGGGAGTGGGTGGGTGAGGGGGGGCATGGCCAGGGTGGTCATGGCTGACTGGGTGTAGCGTAAGGGCATGGCCAGCTTGATGTTGCTCACATGAGCTGGGTGCTGTTTGGGAGGGAATCCAGGGGTCTCTGGCAGGTTGGGTGATGGGCGGGAGGCTCATCCCACAGGATGAGGTGAGGTGATGCAGGGGTGTGGGGTAGCTGTGCTACCGCCATGAGGCAACATAGGGGATGGGGCAGCTGGTGCAGGAAACTGTCGGCCATCGAGCACTCGCCACCCTTTGTGCATGGGGGGGGGATTTTTCTGGCAGCACCAGCAACTTGCCATCCCCTCAGCTGGCACACTCTGTGACTCTGGAGCCCGCTCTACTGGGCTGGCCATCCCAGGCAGCAGGCAGAAGCAGGGGAGGAGGCACATGATGCAGACTGCTGGAAGTGCTTTGTCCCACTGTCTGTTTTTGCTTGCAGCTGGAGGGCAGGTCACTGCTGATCATCTTCTCCTCGGCCCCCTCGTGGGTCTTGCCCTTGGCTTGCATTTGGAGCAGGGGTGGGTTCTAAAAGTTTTTACTACCGGTTCTGTGGGCGTGGCTTATTTTGTGGGCATGGCTTGATGGTCATATGACAATTATTTAGGATTTAGCAGAGGTACTGGTTTACCAGGCTTTTAACTGCTTGCAGAGCTGTACCGATCTACCCATTTATTTTTGCAGGCACTGATCTACTCGTGTATTTTTGCAGGCACTGATTTACTCATGTATTTTTGCAGGCACTGATCTACTCATTTGTTTTCTTTTAACATTGATCAGCTGTAGGGCGGCCCTTTGAAGCCCTGCGGCAAGAGTTTAAACAGTTTTTTTCCCTCTAGCCATCAGCTGGGACTCAGGAAGCAGCAATAGATTGGGGGTGGGGCCAAATAAAAGGTAAGAATAATGTGGGGGCAGGGGGCGGGGGGGCAGAACCGGTTTGGTGATGTCATATCGTCACCGCTACCGGCTCGGGAGAACCAGGGCGAACCGGGAGGAACCCCCACTGATGTGGAGCATGTTCCCCTCATGCACCCAATGCACCTCGACCCCACCATGGGCTGCCGCTGCCACTGCTTAACAGACCCACCCAGCCCAAAGAGGCGAAGCAGCCAGCTAGAAAGGCCAAGTAGAGGTGGTAGAATACGCCTAAGCCCAGCAGGCAAAAGATGGCTACCAAGAGTGGGGAAAGCCGATCCCTATTGGCCCCATGGCTGCCTAGGCCCAGAAGAGATGGGGGGGGGGAGAGATGCAATCCTGGCTGCCAGACATCTTCCCTTGTGCACGCATTCATGTGCGCACGCACGCACGCGCACACACACACACAAACACATGCATGGATTTGGGAGAAATAAGTGGAGAGCCACAGAGGCAACAATGGGGGAGGGATCAAAATGGGAAACCTCTGCCTGGAGCCTCTGGCAAGTAAAAAAAAAAAAGCGGCTTCCCTTTTTGTCCACCTTCTCCTCTGTTGCCTCCACGCCTGATGAAGAGAGGGCAGTTCCACTTCTCCTGGTTTCCAGGACAGTCCCATGCACCAGATCTAACCACCTCATGGGGTGGATCTGGCTCATGGACCTTGAGTTTGACACCCCTGATCTATACTATTCATTTTATCTCTTCATATTTTCTATAGAAATGGAAGATGAGCGGCTACCGCAAATGTGATAGAGAGACAGAGATATTCTTACAAACTATAATTGCTTCATCTATGTCTATTTATCATTTCATTCATTGTCTATTGCACTTTTAACTTTCTTTCTCTCTCATTTTAAGGATATCCAGTCACAACTTTCTCAGTCTTCCTCTTGACCCATTCACTCTTACTAATTTGTTTTAGTAAGAATGACCCTCATTCATTCTTTTTCACTAATCAAACCCTCTACATATTTATTTCATACAGTCACTCACTTTTGTATTTAATAAACTTCACTTAGGATCTTTTAACCCTATCTCTTTCTTTTACTACTTTTCAGTACCTCATTCCTATTAGAGATTTTTACTATTACTGCTATATTATTATAGTTCTTGGTTCTTTGTTTTAAGATCTAGAAGTCCTGTTTAGTGTAAAGACAGAAGGGCAGTGGGAAGCATTTTCCAGATGAGACATTGACTTAGTCAATGACTTAGATAATATTTTCTGGCCATCAAGTACTATCATTGAAATAAATCTTTGGGTATTCAGAATGACTTCATTCCCTTTATTATTTAATTGAAAGGAGAATGCATAGTAATTTTTGAAAGCACTCTGCTTTTCTCCCCATTCTGAGGAGAAAATATTAGGTCCCACATGTGAGAATCCCAAAACCTCTGGGCTGTGGAATCAAGATGATAGACCATTATTTAGTTATGTATTGCATTTACATCATGCACTTTCTTTGAACCTCCAGATGACATAAATGGGGGTCTCCTTAATTTATCTCAGCAAGTCTGTGTTACAACTTGATCTGAGAGAGAGCAACTGATCCTAAGTCACTCAGCTGCATGGTCAAGTGGTTCATCCTGGTGCAAATCCAACCTTAGTTTAATATATAAAACTCAAGATGGGCTTCACAAAGGAATTACAAAATAGGGAAGAACATGACTTTTACTTAGTATGGGAAAAGTGGTATAGTTGGTTGAAAGATAGGAAAGAGATGAAGCAATAGGAAGTAAATAAAATGACCAAATATAATATGATGGAAACAAAGAACAGACATAGGTTAACAAAGATCAATATTAGATAGATAAAAGGGAATGACCAAATAAGGAAGAGTCAAAATACAAAAAGAAATGTATATTATAGTTGCAACAAACTGGACATGTATTGAAATGGATGTTTATATGTTTTTATGTTTTATACGTTTCATTGTTCTGTTTAGTTTATACTTATAAATAATATAATATATATATTAAAAAAAAAAAAGAACAGCCAAGAAAGCAAATAATAATAAAAAAAAACTAATGGTCTACCAAAAGGGTTCTAATGTTCTGAAGCAAGTAAAAAAACCTGTCATCACTTCTTGTAGGAAATGCTGATAAAGGATTTTCATGAACTGCGTGCAACAGTAAAGAAGATGGGGCTCTTGAAGTCAAGATTCAGCTTTTTTGCTTTCATGTTTCTGCATGCTTTCATACTAGACATTGCATCTTGGTTTACTATCTGGTATTTTGGAAAATCCTGGATGCCTTTCCTCCTTGGAGTAGCAATGTTCACCATTGGACAGGTAACCTCTTTGTGTTGCAGAGCATAGTAGTGTTGTAGAATAGTCTTCAACATATTTAGAACAATTTAATTGCTTTCGTTAGTAATTTAACACCTTGTGCACTTATCTGAGTTTTCAATTCTTTGAGCTGTTGAATCTGAACATAGTAATTCAACTACACACACACATTAAGAAAAGTGCTATTCCTATCGCTTCAGGACCTGAGCAAATTATACTGCAGAATATGCATGATATTGCTTCATCTTTTTTGTCTGGTAAAATTAAAATGTTTGGAATGAAGGCATGCTTTTCCAAGATAATTGTATTTGCTGACTGCATACAGCATATACAGTGTTATGTACATATGTATGTATGTATGTGTGTGTATGCATATACATATACCCCTACACATATAGTATATAATCACACACTGTGTGTAGTGTAACTGTGGTTTTTTTTTATTAAGAACTGTGGTTCTTTTCAATTAATTAATGACAATGAATGATGTTCCTCTACCAATTACTCCGTACATAAAAAATGTGGAGAAATTACATACATATGTGTCATATTTGTTAATTTTTACTTCCAGATCCAGTATGGTTTTCTCCAGCATGATCTTGGCCATCTGTCAGTCTTTGAAAAGCCCAAGTGGAACAGAGTAGCTCACTTCGTGGTAATTAACATTCTTAAGGTCAGAATCCATCCAAGAGAAGGGAAAATTTAAGTGATGATTTGTGATGATTTATATATTTGAAATTGGATTCTGTCAATCCATTGTTATTTTCGGTCTCCTGGGTTTTGAAAAATAGGATAAGGATAATGCATTTATATAGCATACTTTATGCACTGAAGTGCTGAAAATATAAGATCATCTTTTTGCAACATCTCTGTAAAGCAGAGTTTCCCAATGTTTCCAGCTTTGTAAACCGGCAGGGGTGAAGGGATGGTTCGTGCAAGTGGCTGGCAAGTGCACATACGCAGCTCCACTTGAGCAAGTGGCATGCACATGCGCCTGCCACTCACACAAATGGAGCATGTGTGCACATGCTCGCATACTGCTTGTGCAAGTGAGGATGCGTGTGCATGCACATGTGTTTGCCGGCCATTTCCACGGGACAGTTGCAAACCCCACACAGCCCACTAGTGGGACACAGTCCACAGATTGGGGATGCCTGCTGTAAAGAATGATAGCATTAATAGTGCTTCCTTACAGAAAAGGGAGATGGCGTTAAGAGAAATATAGTCAGTCTTCATTTCATAGCTATGAAGCATTTTTAAAAATAGTGCACTATACTTGCTTTGCTTTTTCACTACTGAAGATAAAATAGTGGAGTGTTTTCTTGTCTATTTTTGTTTCACACAAATGCATTTAGCATCAAAGCTGGAATTTTCAATAGTCAGTCTTGGAATGAAACTTTTTCAGATGCTTAATAATAAGAAGAAATGAAGCTAGTTTACACAGAAATGCTAGAGGTCAGTGTGCTGTCACTATACAGAATTCAATTCCTGAATAGATGAAAAGAAGTGTAAACTAACAGAACTGCAGCTATGTAAGGACCTGCCTCAGCTACCTTCTGGTGAAATGAATTTGCATTTCAAAAGCAACTTTTACTAAGAGAAAGTGATTGCAGAAAAGTCAGGTGGAGTCTGAAATTTGCGCAGGAAACATTAGGCTAACTTTCCCCTACAAGCCCCACCCCAAATGCCCCATGTCTTCCGGCAGCCAATAAAATGCCGCAAAGGTGTTTTTAAAACTCCGAGGCTACAAGGTGAGAAGAGGCCGTCCTCGGAACACTGCAACCTTGAGTAACAGGCTGGAACTGGCAGAGAGGGAGTCTGTGCAGATGGCTGATCCTCCCCCACTAAACTCTTAAGGGGATACAGCAAAAGCATGCAAAATATTCAACTCGCATAGCCACCCCTCTCCCCTTCAGAATGGCAGAGTTCCAATAGGGTCCAGACAAGCTATTTTTTGTTTTATTTTGTTTGTAGCTAGTCAGTGGGGAATACATAGGATACAGCATTATTGACAAATAGATGGAATTCATGTTTGTTCTTCTGTACTTCTCAAGGGAATACCGGCAAGCCAATGGAACCACATGCATAACCAGCATCACGCCAAACCCAACTGCTTCCGCAAGGACCCTGATCTCAACTTGCACCCGCTCTTTTTCAGCGTGGGGAAGAAACTTTCCTTGGAGGTAAATAAATAGAAAGTCTTAGGCAGACAAAAGACCCTGAAAAAATATTAGCAGTACTAAAAGAAAAAAAACCAACACCACCATATCTCTGATGAGCAATCTAGGAAAGTAGGAAGAAAGGATTCTTTCTATCTCCCATATTTCTTTATAGCAACTCTCGCTGCTGTTGCATTGGTTCAGGCACTGCCTTATTTTCTAGTCTATGCTTCTGTAATGAATCTGTCAAACTTCTTTCCTTTTTTTGGATAACATCAGAACCTGTTGACTATTCCAGAGAATTAGTTTCTCTGGACTATTTGGCACTTAGAAAGTTGTTCCTGTCTTAACATATCTTGATAACTGCCCATCGCAGACTCCCTCCCTGTCCATAGTTCATTTGTACTATGAAATGAACTCCATTTCATAGTACAAATTTACAAGCAAAATATCAATTTTACAGTTATTTTAAATATTTAGTTTTTTGGTATTTCTCTCTCTCTCTCTCTCTCTCTCTCTTAGCCCCAACCAAGTTGTATGAGTAGATCTGTTAATGATTCTGAGCTACATTTAATGGCACAAAGTTCAACTGCACTTCTGCATTAATTTGTACATTTTTCAATTTTTTTCCAGTTTTAAAAGTTATTAAATATAAAAAATTCCATTTCTAAATAAACAGTGTGTTGTCTGCATACAAATAATTTTGAAAAATAGTAATAATATTTACAATAATATTCATCACATTAGTATTGATATCATAATAATAATAATAATAGTATTGCTTACCCATTTTAATAAACATTCCTTATAAAATTAATCCTTCTCTTATATTTCCATTTCTATCTTCTGTTTTTGTTGGTTAGCCATTGATTAAATGAGTCCCATGTTAAAAAGTATTCAGTTTCTTCCTTTTCCTTAATTTTAAGTGTTAATCTATCCATTTCTGCACATTCTGATATTTTTAAAATTACGTTTTCCTCTGTAGGGGTCTCTTCATTTTTCCAGTGTTGTGCAAATACAATTCTAGCTGCTGTTAACACATGTAGAATTAAGTATGTGATCCCTTTATTATATTTTTCCAGTAAGATGCCCAACAAAAATATTTCTGGTTTTAGATCTATATGTTGCTTTGTCATTTTTTCCAATCATGTATGTATTTTTGTCCAATATTTTTTTGCCTTTGGGCATGTGCACCACTTATGATAATACATGTCTTTAAACATTTTTGCCAAACTTATCAGTGAAAAATGTCATCCATAAAACATTTTATAGAGATTTTCTTTATATGCAGTTGACATTGTTAATTTATAATTCCAGTTCTGTTGGTTCTTTATAAAAACCATACATTTTAGCATCTTTCTCATATCGAGATTGTATCTGCACTTGTGGCCACCATGTTATATCAATCCCTTGACTATTCAATTCTTGCTTAGTTTTAAGCTCCCCCTCTTCATTCAAAATATCTTTATATCTTGTAATTTTTTCCATGTTAATAACATTTGGATGTATCAGTGGCTCCATTGTAGAAAGCCAGACTGGTATTTTAAAGTAGTGTTCCTCTTTAGTTTTTGCCCATACTGACAATAGTTCATTTCTAATATAGTGTCTTTGAAAATAGCTATACATTTTGTTTTTCCCATACCATAAAAAGGCATGCCACCCCAGTTGGAAATCATGATCCTCCAAAGTTAATAATCTTTTATGCCTCAAACTAATCCATTCTTTCACCCATGTAAGTACCGAGGCCTGCTAGTACAATTCCCAGTCTGGCAACCCAAAGCCCCCTTTGTTTTTAGAATCTTGCAGCATTTTCAGACTTATTCTTGCTTTTTTCCCCTTGCCAAATATATCTTGGCATTGTTTTATTTAATTCTTCAAAGTATTTTTTTCCAGCTTTATCGGAATTGTTTGGACTAAGTATAATAATCTTGGCAAAATATTCATTTTTATAGTGGCTATTCTTCCTGTCAAAGACAATTGCAGATTTTTCCATTTCTCCAAGTCTGATTTAATTTGTTGCATCAGCTTACAATAATTGTCTTCTTTGATGCTTGCACATCTTGCTGTTAACTGAATTCCTAGGTATTTTACTTTCTTGACTATCTGAATATCTGTCTTCTTCATTAAGTCTTTTTTCTGTTTATCTGTAAGGTTTTTAACTAATACCTTGGTTTTTTCTTTCTTTATTTTCAGTCCTGCAACTTCACCACAATCTTCTATTTTTGAAATTAATTTGGGTCCAATTTCTTGTGGATCTTCTAATATGAAGACCAAGTCATCTGCAAATGCCTTTAGCTTATATTTTCTTTTTTTATTTCCATACCTTTTATTTCTATATCTTGTTTAACGTGTCTATTTAGCACTTCCAATGTCAATATGAATAGTAGAGGGGACAATGGACATCCTTGTCTTGTGCCTTTTTTATATTAAAGTTCTCTGTCATGTCCCCATTTACAATAACCTTTGCCATTTGTTTATGATATATTGCCTTAATCATATTAGTAAATCTCACCAAAGTCCATATATTTTAACTGTAATAACATGAATTGCCAATTTACATTGTCAAATGCTTTCTGTGTATCTAAAAAGATCAATGCCATTTGTTTTTCAGAATGTGCTTCATAGTACTCCAATGTGTTCAGAATCATTCTCATATTATTTTTTAATTTGTCTCTTAGGCAGAAATCCCTCCAAAAATCTTTTTAATTTCTCTGCTATTATTGAAGCATATATTTTATAATCAGTGTTCAATAGAGATATTGGCCTGTAGTTTTTTATCTGCATTAAATCTGACTCTTCTTTCGATATAAGAATAATGTTTGCTTCCATCCACATATTTGGTACCTTCGCTTCTAACAATGCTTCATTATAAATTTCCAACATTAATGGACCTAAAGTGTCTTGTAGATACTTATAAAGTTATGCCAGTAACCCATCTGGTCCTGGTGTTTTATTATTCTTTTGTCTCTTAATCACCTCTGTTAGTTCCATCATCGCTATTCTTTCATTTACCATGGCTTTCACTGTTTCAGGCACTTTAGGTACAGTATTTTTTGGAGTATAAGATGCTCCAGAGTATAAGACACACATTAGTTTTTGGGGAGGAAAACAAGAAAAAAAATTCTGCCTTTGCCTACCAGCATCCATCGGTATTCATCTGGCTAGCGTCTTTGCAGCAAATAGCAAACAGCCTGGTCAGCTTCAGCACATTATTGCAACCTGACTCAGCATGAGCAGCTGATTGGCGGGTGGATTGGTCTCCCAGAATACCCCCAATCAGCTGTTCCAGGCTGCAGGGATTGCCACAGACCATCGCCGTGTCTGTGCCTCATATTTTTGGCCTCTGTGCCTTACGTTTTTGGCCTCCACGTGTCACGTTTTCGGCCTCCGAATGCTCCATTTTAGACCCGTTCCAGGCTACGGTCATCGCCACAGCACATAGTCGCCAATCGCTGCCTCTGCACATCGTGTTTTCAGTCTCCATGCATCATGTTTTCAGCCTCTGCACACTCCATTTTTTGCCACAGTTTTGGGCGGTTCCAGGCGGCATGGGAAAAATGTATCTTATACTCCGAAAAATATGGTAATTCAGCTTTTTCCAAATATTGTTTTATTCTATGTTCTGGGATTTTCTCTTGATCATACAACTTTTCATAGAAATCCTGGATTATTTTCTTTTTATCATCATTTTGGTAATAGAGAGTTCTTTTCTCATCTACCAAACTATGTATCAATTTCTTTTCTTTCTCCTTCTTTAATTTGTATGCTAGCCATCTTCCTGATTTATTCACATTTTCAAAGAAATTCTGTTTTGCACTTTTAACTTTTTGTGCCAATTCTTCTTTTTCTATTAAGTTCAATTTGTGTTTTATTAGTTCCATTTGGTTCTTTTAAGGTCTTTTTTTGTGGTTCTTTCTGTAATTTTAATTCTAATGTCTTATGTTCTTCTTTTAGTTTCTTTTGATATATTTTTTTCCTTATTTTTCCTTCCTATATAAGTTATAGCTAGTCCCCGGATATATGCTTTGGCAGTATCCCATACATTTTGCAATGAGGTCTCTCCTTTTCTGTTCTCTTTAAAAAAGAAATCCAATTCTTTTTCCATTGTTTGTATAAATTCCTTATCCTTTAATATTGATTGATCCATCTCAGTTTTTTCTTTTGTCCTTTCCACTTAACTCTTACTGGGTTATGATCTGCCCAGACATTTGATTCTATTTTTATCTCTTGTACATTTGCTTTTAACTCCAGTGACATCCATATCATATCTATTGTTGACCAAGATTTGTGTCTGTTTGAATAGAATGTGTATTGGTTTTTCTTAGGATTTATTTCTCTCCATATATCTTGGATACCTATTTCTTCCGCCATTTCGAAAAAAGTCTTTGGGAGCATTTTTCTAGCTTTTGCCTACTTTACTATTTCTATAATCAAGTATTGCATCTACAATTGCTTTGAAGTCTCCTACCACACAAATATTTTCATATTCGAGGGAGGCTTGGCAAGCGTCCACAGTGAAACAACACTTTCTTTGGGGGCTCCTGAAGGATCATTGATATCGCAACCATCTCCTCTTTTGACTGAAGCTGTCCTGTAGATATGGTGAATGAGAGAGGCACAGACTGGCAAGCACAGGGAAGTCGCAAATTCCCTGGCTGGTCAGAAGATGCCTCTCAACCAGACGGCTGAGAAAGCAGCTATTGAGAGCTGCTACAAAGCTGGGGCAGCCACAGCAGAAGCGTGGAAATAAAGGGAAGTGTGGATCGTCGGGGTGAGATGCCTGCTTTTCTTAAAAATACAAGTTTCTTTTCATAACCTCCTGGAAATAGCTAAAAGAGGAGAAAGTGGCAAAAAGAGAGGAGGGGAGAGTGGGCGTGTGTTGGCTTCTCCACCTCCCTTAATACAGCATCAAGGAAAGTGGGTGAACCCAAACAAAATAAGAGAAAATTAAATGAATTAGCAGAATTCATTTGGACAATAAGAGAATAAGAGCAGAAAGCCTGACTGAGTATTTTTAAACTTTTTATTTTATTTATTTTATTTATATACCACCCTACTCCCAAAGGACTCAGGGCGGTGAACAGCCAAACAGTAAAAATACATAGATACAAAATTTAAAAACAAAGTAAAATCGAATTAAACAAATTTGGCCCAACATATTAAAACCCCAATCATTTAAACATTTTAATCTAAACAAATTGAACAAAATTTAAGTGATGGAATGAATTGTTTTTAGAAGGAAAAACTTTTTCTACTTTTCCTGGGTGAAATAAACTGCAGTGCCACTTAGAGGCACCACTGAAAGGATAATGAACTGAATAATAAAGTTAAATGAATAAGACAAGACAAGAATGACCCTGATAATGCTTGCTGTACTGATTAGAAATTGTTTGGTCTAATAGACTGAGGTACACTGAGAGCCTTGTTTTTAAACTCAAGCTGGAACAATGTACCTTTTGAAGTTTGCAAAAGAAGAAGTAACAGGAAAGATTATTGACAACTCCCATTCAGTTTGGCTTTTGGGATATTTTTTTTCTTTTTCCTTTACTTGTGAATAATAGAGTGGAGATTCTACTTGTTAATTTTTAGTTCCTTTTTCTTTCTTCTTCAGTTGCTTTTTTTGTGTTTAACAATTGGTTGGATTGTGTTTTTCTTTTTTCTTTTTCTTTTTGTCTGTGCTTCTTTTTTGTACACAGACATTTTTCTTTTTTCCCTCTTTTTTTCTGGCTTTTTGGCTTTTTGGTCTAGTTAATTCCTCACCGGAGGAAACTTGGATTAAGGTTAGAAAAACCTGAAGATTAAGATTGTAAACATTGGATTTGGATTGTAATTCTCTATTTTTGTATTGTTTTGTTTTTTTGTTATTTCTCTTCATCTCCTTTTTATTTTTATTTTTTGGTTAGTTGGCTTATTTTTGTACTTTTCCTTTTTTTTTTAATTCACCCAACAGGGTGGATTAAATATTTCGATTATAAATTCTATTTGGATTATAACCCGGTGGATTATAAAATCAAGACACTACTAGTTGAAGAAAACAACAACACATCTGCCTTCAACAGCCTCGGCAACAACTTCTAGCCCTGCAGCTCAGAGAACATTGGACACTATGACTATGCAACTGGAAATAAAAAATATGATACAGGCATTTCATGAAGACTTCAAAGAAAGAATAAGCAAATTAGATGAGAGAATGGAAAAAGTAGAAGGGGAATTAAAAGATGTCAAGGGGATAATTAAAAAATGAACAAAGAATACAAAAGGTGGAAGAAAAAGTGGAATTGATCAAAAAAAAAAAAGACTGGGAGAGCTGGATGACAGACTTACAATAACTAATAAAAACCAGGAAAAGACAATCATTTCTTTAGAAATGGATCATTAAGGTTATTATCTAAGATTTCAAAACATAGAAGAGAAAGGAGAAAATTTAGCTGAAATAATGGCAGAGTTGTTGGAGGAAGCAATGGTGGAAACTAGAGAAAAGATATTGAATGAGATCGATGAGATTTTTAGAGTACATACTAGATATGCAATGAGAAACAAATTACCTAGGGAGATGTATGTAAGATTCACCAAGAAAGCAATAAAAACAGAGATATTACAGACAGCAAGAAACAACCCAATAAAATATAAAGGCAGAGAGATCGTGGTGTTGAAACAAATACCTAGAAGAGTCAGAGATCTGAGAAAAGAGTACTAGTTCTTGATAAAATGTTTAATTAAAAAAGGAGTGATTAATAGGTGGTTCATACCAGAAGGAATATTGGTGAATTGGCAGGAGCAAAGACACAGATTAGACTCACTAGAGAAGGCAGAACTATTTTATGATCAATATTTGGAACTACAAGAAGTGGAGAGATTGAGAGAGGAAAGAGAGATTGGATACCAGGAAGAAACAGTGAAAGAAAAAGAAGCTCAAATAAGAGAGATGGCAAAGAAACAAGAAGAAAGAGAAATAAGAGAAGGGGCAAGGCTAAAAGATGTTAAAGAATAGAGAGAGACAAGAACAACAAGATCAGCAAAGATTATTAATAAGTAAACTATGGAGGAAAAAATAAAAGTAATATCGATAAACATAAATGGATTAAATTCGGCAATAAAAAGGAAAAGAACTTTAAATAAATTGGAAAAATTAAAAATGGACATAATATGTTTACAAGAAGTTCATATTAGGAAACAACATAAAAAAACTTTTGGAATACCAAAAATTGGGAGAAGTATTTACTGCACTGGCACATCAAAGTAAAAGAGGTGTAGTACTATACATTAAAAAGACGCTAGCACCTAAAAAATATTTGCTGGTGAAGAAGGGAGGATTCTTATGGTGGAAGTAACAATGAACTATAAACAAATACTCTTAGTGGCGATATACACCCCAAATGACAATCAAGAAGATTTTACTGGAAAATTACACAGAAAAATAATTTAAGTCAAGTATGAAAATATTTGCATGATGGGAATTTTAATGCAATAACAGAAGTTGAATTGGACTATAAAACCACAAAGATAAATAAGAAGCCCAGAAAAATTCTTCCAAAAGCCTTTTTTACAATGGTGGAGGAATTAAATATCCAAGATTTTTGGAGAAGAAGATATCCGAAAGAAAACTGATACACTTTTTATTCAAATAGACATATGTCATTGTCTAGAATAGATATGATGTGGATATCAACCGATTTATTAGTTAATATAGAAGATATAAACATTGAAGCAAGCAGATTATAATCCAATCACAATTATATGGAAGGGACAAAAAAAGAGATCAAGATGGACATTAAATCAAACAATATTAAATGAAAAAAGAGTTTCAACAATTTATGGAGAAAGAATTGACTTTCTTTTTCAGAGAAAATAAAAAGGAAGCTACCTCATTACAAAATGTGTGGGATACAGTGAAAGCATACATTCAAGGATTGGCAATGATTTATTTGGGAAAAACGAATAAAAAGAAAAGACAAACTTTAAAAAAATTGGAAGAGGAGTATAAGAAATTAGAAATGGAACCACTGAAAGATATACAAAATAAGAGGATTAAAAATCAAATGAACCTTAAAAAACATGAATTGAATCTAATTGAAAAGAGAATTTGGCACTCAAAATAAAAACTTCTAAGCAATATTTTTTTGAAAATACAAATGAGCCTGGAAGATGGTTGGCATACAAAATGAAAAAGGAGAGAGAAAAAAAGTTAATCAATCAACTAATGGATGAGGAGGGAACTATATGCTATCGAAATGAAGAAAAGAAGAAAATAGTACAGAATTATTATGAGAAACTCAATAAACAAGAGACAATATCAGAAGAAAGGATAAAACAATACCTAGAAAAATCTGAATTACATGTACTTCTCTAGGGATTTTATTCCTTCTCACATAGCTTGTATGTATTCTAAATATTTCACCAATCCCAGTTTGCATCTCCTGCTTGCTCATCTCCAAGGCATTATTTTTCAAAGAACATGTTTTGATCCACATTTTCCTGTGAAGTGCAGTCTAATAATGCATTCCCCTTCCCAAAGGTTGTGCTTAGATGAATGTAAAGTCAAAGAATTTAACCAAGTGAATTGTGCATGTTTAAGGCTGCAGTAAAATGCAGTGCCTCTCCAAAAGGTGACAAACAATAATTTTTAATGTGACAAAAAAAGACAAAGTAATTTAACATTGGGGATTCAATATATGAATTGAAATAAGATGAATTAAATTGAATCAAATTAAAATGAAATGAAAGGAAATCACATTTAATTTTGGTATTGTCTTGTCCATGTTTTTCCCCCTGGGCCTTTTTATTTTGGAAAGATAGCTTCCCTCAAAGATCAGGGGCAACCTTCAGCCCACAAAAGCTGTGTGTGTATGGCAGAAATTCAAGAAACACAGATCAAATAATCTGTGCTATAGTAATAATGAAAGATCAAACTTTTCAAGAATTTATATCCACGATGGCGAACCTATGGCACATGTGCCAGAGGTGGCATATGAGCCATCACCTCAGTTCGTAGCTTTGCTGCGAATACTCGCGCACCTCCCACCGGCCATCTGATCTTTGAGTCTCTGCCGCACATACCTGGGGCAAGGTGTGTGGGGGGGGCGTGCATGTGCAGGGGGCATGCATACGTAGGGGCGGGGCACATGCACATGGCCATGCACACACGCTTTGGGCGCTCGATCTGGAAAAAGTTAGCCATCACTGATCTATATTGTAAAGAATGGGCCCTTACAACATGACCATGATGACCAGGAATTTACATAGTTGTCAATTTAACTGTTTGCTCTTTTTCTTCTTGTGCAGCTTGGAAAGAAGAAAACGAAGTATATGCCTTACCAGTACCAACATAATTACTTTACCTGTAAGTGTTTTACCATGTTTACAGGAGCCTAAATTTGGAGAATAACCAATGAAGTCATATACAGTATCAGCAGTATAAAGCACCTTATTGGAACACCTAGAGCAGGGGTGTGAAACTCAAGGCCAAGTGGCTGGATCCAGCCCTTTGGGTGCTTAGATCTTGCCTGTGGGACTGCCCTGGAAACAGCGGAGGACCGGCCCGCGGTGCCCCTGCCAGTGAAAATGGAACTCGGGAGGGCCACACATACACACACACACACCAGCTCCATTTTTCCTAGCAGAGGGTTGCAGGAGGCCATTTCACTGGCAGAGCACTCGGGCCACCACAGGTGCCCCCAACACAAGTGACGTCAAGCTGGTCACACCCATCCTAACCACCACCCCCGCAACCCCACCGAGATCAAACACAACCCTGCTGCAGCCCTCAATGAAATTGAGTTTGATACCCTTGACCTAGAGTAACAGGATATTGGGAATATGAATGTGCTTCCTTCCTTTATGTGAACCAGGGAGCTGCCTGAGACATTTACTCAAATTACTTTCTTGGAAAGGGCTCATTGCCTTGATAGCAACTATTCTTCCTGGCTTTCGAGGCCATTCCCTATTCCCTCTCCATCAGGTCTCTCAATCACTACAGAAATAGCCTGATGAGCATTGAGGCAATAGGTCAGGGAATAAGGTGGTTAATTTAATGCCAAATGGGATTCAGAGGCAGATGTTGTTTTTTTCCTCTAAGATATATTCTACTTTATTTTAGTCACACGCTCATTTTTGTATTCTCCTTTTGCATTTTTATATTAGTCTTTGCCCCATTGATGTATACAATTGGTGTCCAACTGGTTTCCTATTTCGGTATATTTAGAAGAAAAAAATGGTTGGTAAGTCATAACACCTCTTTATTTTAGGGGATTGGTGAATGGTCAAATGTAACACATAAAGGTCCTGAATCCTCCTCCTTTCTAATGAGCTACAGGAGATGCATTACAAAATGCAAGTTGCTTTCTTCCCTTAATCCCCCACAACATGGGAACGTTCCCTGCCATTCATGATTTCATTGGCCTTCCCTCTTGTCAGCACCATGGAACAGAAAATATAACTGGTTTGCTTGGGAAGGGAAGGGTGAGCAAATAGTACAATGAAAGCCAAGGAATAGAAAGTGATGAGGAGCAGAGGAAGAGATTGCCAGAAGATTGTATTTCTAACTGCCATGGATATTGGGGTGCATTTGCAGAGGGATGGGGAGAGATTATCTGGGCACTGATATGGGGAGTACAGATACAGTTTAATAATAATAACAATGCTTCCAGTTAGAATTTATATCGTGGTTATAAAACTTCATTCCTCCCCATGGGTGCAAAAAAACCCACTACTCAGGTTGAGTCATGCCACTATCCATTGCAATTCTCAGCCACTGCAAAAGACATTGAAACCTTTAGCAGCTTCAAGAATTCCATTTCTGTCGTAGAGAAATTCTTTCCATTTTGATGTAGAGCAAGGTTTCTGCACAACTGATGCTAGTATGCTCCACTGTCACTCTTTTTTATCATTGTGGGAGTTTTACTAGATGCACAAATGAAGAGACCCTGAAAGTCCTTCAGCACTACACCTATAGGCACTACACTGCCTATTAATCTCTGCAGGTTATTGCATTATAGCCTTTAGCATCTCTATTTGCCATATTGCTGCTACTGTAATTAATCTGACATTGACAAAGGAACTATGATAATGATCCACATGTTGTTACTATTGTGCTTATTTAATACTCTGTTCTTTGACAGGAGCTGTTTAACACTCTTTTCTATAACTTCCGTGTCTGCCTCATGTATGTTCCTTTAATGGGATTTAAGAGCTTTATGGCTTACTACTGGTTAACCAGGTAATAATGATTATGTAAAACTCTATCCTGCTGCTATGACTCAACTAATGCTTTTAAATACTGTGAAGTAAAAAAGAGATCTTCAATATGTACATAGCTAGCTTTGTTTACCAGCCTGAAAAAAACAATGAGGTCTCCATTTGTTGTTTACTTAATATGGGGATGTAAAACAAATAAACTGTTAAAATTAGTATACGCTATTACTGATCTTTTCATATTACACAATGGTTTCTTCATGAGACCACGTCCCACAAGGTTTTTATTTGCTACAAATGTAGCTATTTATCATAGATTTAAGAGATACAATAAAAATCTTCCACAAGGTGCATGCCATAAAAGGGCAACAAATAATATCTGTATCTATGACTATATTGTTTGGGCTTTTTAACTTAAAAAATGATATGTCATCCTTCCTCAAGCTCAACTCAAACTAAAAATAATCATGCTATTGAAAAGAGCATAGTTCACCACAATGATCTTGATCAAACTCTTGTTATTGCTTGGTCATCACCAATTATCAAAGTATTATTTATCAATACCTCTACAGCCACCAATTATCAGTCTCAAATATTCTTCACTAATTGCCAAATAGCTTCATCTGAAAACAGAGATTGATGTTTAAAAGTTTGATCTTACACTTTGAGCAGGTTGGTACAGGAGGAGACATTTCTTTAAGGATTGGTCTGGTACTTTCTATCCTCAAGGGAAAAAAATATTATTTATTTGTCCTTCACAGTTGGATAAAAACTGCATCTCAGTGTCTTTGGAGAATGCAAATGACCCCATATGCAAATGACCCCATATGCATATACAATCTGTCTTCCAACTTGTGTTTCATTCCATCTACCTCATGGCAATAGGCCTCAAATATAGTTTTGCTAGCATGCCATTTTGTAGCCCTAAAACCCTCTCAGAAGTTGTTGGACCAATTAGCTATAAGGCTGATCCTACACCAGTGAAGGAATTTTAGACTTCTTTAATGTTTTCACAAATCAGTCCTCTGTTACAATCTGGTTAGCAATCTACCTGAAAGATTGTTTCCTAAACAAACTGACAAACACACAAATGCATGCTGCAAAATGCCTAGATGGTGCGTGTTGTGGGTGGGGGGAGACAAGACTAGAAACCTCTTTGAGATTTTTTGTCAAGTTAGAGAAAGGAGCTGTTTGTAACTCATATGCCATTAAAAGCTCTGGAGACAATGCATGTAGTCAGGGGTGGGTTCTACTTACCTTTACTACCGGTTTGCAATGGGGCTGCGTGCATGCTCTTCTGCGCATGCGCAGAAGCATTTTGATGATGTCAGGATCGGTGGGCGGAGCCTCCCGCCAGTTTTACTACCAGTTCTATAGAACTGGTGCGAACCGAGGGCAACCCACCACTGAATGTAGTGATGTTCAAGCTAGAAGAAGATCACTATTCTGTTCAGGGGCTGGGATTCTTGGTCAAACTGAGCAACAATTGGCTCAGGGTGATATGTGTGAAACCCAACTTACAACTATATAATTAACATTGAGCTAAAAGTTTTTTGATCAATTGATAGTGAGGACACAATGGAGAAATCAGGCTGGTTTTAAAGTATATTGAGAATTGAGAAAATGGGAAGTGATTATGGAAAAGGAGCTGTGAAGGCAATTACAGACAAATCTTAAGCACTTTCCCCCTTCTTTAGAAACTAAACTGAACTTAAGCAGTTTTATCCACCTTTCTTGCCCAATAGGTAATCCAAATGTGGGCAGTTCATCAAGTTGTGTAACTAATAGTACTACTTACTTGAGAACTCTGAAGAATGTGAGTTTTAGAATACCTGAAACTTCTAAGTAGATATGAGGGCTTAAAGTGTGACAGATTGTACAAGTTTGTTACAAAATACCATAGCTTTAACTCCCTGCTTTTACCTATAAAAATTATGTTTCTGTATAGTCTATTAGTGCAATGATGTGGTAATAGTAATTGTCATGTTATGTTTTGGGCTGAGAAAAGCAAAGTAGTTTTACTAGTGAGTGAACCATTTAAAGAATTTGTTTGAATCACTGTTTGTATGTCTACACAGGTACTTAGAAGCTGCATGGTTTATCTGGGTCTCACAGATGAGCCACATTCCAATGAATATTGACTATGATCAGAATTTAGATTGGTTCTCTGCCCAGGTGAGATAGTTTCTATTTAACGGGGAAATTTCTTTTCTTTGGATAATCTTATTCAGAAATGTTGGGTCCTCAATTCTGAAACATAAGGCCAGATTATGCTGCTGTTTTCTTAAATATTTCATGCCCTTATTTACATGGAAACATGGTCTTATAAAGAGCAGGTAATACAAATGGAATGCCTATGCTGGCAGCTGGAACTCACTCCCATATTGCTGTTTCTGGGAAAATCACAATTGCACAGTGATGCCCTTTCTCATCTCATGGAGAAAAGTTACAGGGACCAATAAACTCATTGTCCACAGTAGATGATGAGATGGTAAACAATATAGTACATTGCCTGTTAATCTCCCTTGCTTCTTCAGTAAAGCAGGAACAGCACCAATGCTATTCATCCTCCATCCAAAAGGACATTATACAATTCCACGTCCCCACATGTGGAGTCCAATTCACATAATTGTTCTTTTTATGGTCATGAACCAGATTTTCAATGGCATAAAAAATTAACTTTGTAAAATGCATTGATCCACAGAATGAAAACATAGATCCATAAGGCTAACATATTGATTCCAGATAGGAGTAGTCAAACATTGATGGTGATAGAGGAAACATTTTCTCTTTATATTGTAGAGAAGAACATATTGGAGGAAATCTAATTTTCCTGGTGGTAGTTACTGCAATCTCCCCAGAAAGTGTACACATGAAAAAACCAACTACCCAATGATCCATTTTTTAAAAGTGTGTTTTTTCATGCTTTCTTGGTGCCATTTTCCTTTAGGGATTTTTACCAGATATTATGGGACTAGAGATTGGGTTGGATACACTCAATTTCAAACTGTGGTTTAGACAATATAATTAAGGGATGAGACTAAATGAATAGATTATGTGACTAGGTCTCTGGCAAGAGATTTTAAAATGTTTAACCTAAGATTATAGTATTTTTAAAAGGTATATGTGATGAAATGTTTAAGTTAGACATAACTTAACTCAATGGGTTAATAATATTTTTTTTTTTAAAAAAAGACATGCTTTAAAGAAAGTTTTAAAACGTTTAATTTAGAATTTTACGAGGGAGTAATGTTGAACAAACAGAAATTGGCAAGTAGTTTATGAATGACTAAAGAGGATAAATGTTTAATTTAGAATTTTATTAGGGAGTAATGCTGAAAAAGAAGGTATAGAAAGGGTTTTAGTAACAAATGTGAAATGTGATAAGAGAATTTATAAAAGGAAGGTTGATGAATAATTTTTAAAAGGGGAGTTAAAGAGCGTGAGGGAGTTTTGAATCTTGTAGTAAGAATGCCACTTCAAACAATTTGGGATGCTACTAAAGCCTTATTAGAAAACATGGCCATAAAACACAAAAAAGAAGAACAGGAAAGGGGTGATCTAATAAATAAACTAAAAAAGGCGGAGGAACAGCTACAAGATAACCCATTAGCTAGAGAGGCGAAAGAATAGATAATATTGTTAAAACATCAGCTTAATCTTTTAGAATTGGATAAATTGAAAGACAAGATAAAAGCTGCAAAGCAAAAACATTTTGAATCAGCTAATAAATTAGGAAGATGGCTTACATATAGACTTAAAAAAGAAAAACAGAATAGATGAATTGATCAGTTAGAAGATAAGGAGGGAAACTTAATAAGAGATAAAGGAGGAAAAGAAAGAATTGCAGTGGATTTCTATAAAGAATTATACAAAAAAGAAGAAATTTTAACAGAGGTGACAAAAAATTACATTGAGAATTCGGATTTACCTAAAATATCTAATTTATCAAAAGAAATATTAGAAGAGGAAATTACCCTAACTGAAATTGAAAGAGCAGTGAAGAAACAAGGGAATCTGAAAACACTGGGTACAGATGGACTCCCCGCAGAGTTATATAAAACAATGTTTGAGGTAATAGGAGAGCATATGAAAGACTTATTTAATGAAGTCCTGGGGAAAGCAGAAACTCCATATTCATGGAGAGAGGCTAATATTAGCCTAATTCCAAAAGAAGATCCCCACTCGACAGATATAAAAAATTATAGACCAATATCTCTCCTGAACTCTGATTATAAAATCTTCACAACAATTTTAGCAAATAGATTAAAAGGTTTCTTGAATGAATTTATACATATCGACCAAAATCACGCCAATTACGAGATAATCTGAGAATCATGTTAAATATATTGGAATATTATGAAGATCATCCCGGTAAACAGGTTGCACTAGTTTTCATAGACGCCCAGAAGGCTTTTGATAGGATCAACTGGGAGTTTATATTATTACAGCTAGAATATATGGGTTTTGGACAGAGATTTACAAACGCAATTAAAGCGATCTATTCCAAACAAACGGCCAGACTATTGATAAATGGGGATTTGACGGAAGAATTTCCTATTAGTAAAGGCACAAGACAGGGTTGTCCCCTATCCCCTTTATTATTTATTTTATCACTAGAAACCCTACTACGGAAAATAAGGAATGAGGAAAGAATAAAAGGCCTCAGAATTGGACAACAAGTATACAAAACCCAGGCTTTTGCAGATGATATGGTTTTCATTTTAGAAGACCCCACAAAATCCAGCCCATACTTATTAGAATTGATTGAGGAATTTGGAGCAGTTGCAGGATTACTGATTAATTAAAAAAAAAACAAATTTATTAACGAAAAATATTTTAGAGGAAGATAAGAGGAGTTTACAGGAAGCGACTGGATTGAAAGTAGTTAATAAAGTTAAATACCTGGGAATTTGGTTATCTGGTAGATGCTCGAGTATACAAGAAGACAATTATAATAAATTATTAACTCAAATAAGGAAAGATTTAGATAAATGGGGTAAAATTCAACTTTCACTTCTGGGACGAGTAACAACAGTTAAATCCTATATTCTACCAAAATTTAATTTCCTATTTCAAACAGCTCCAGTGAACCTATCCCAAAAAAATTTTATGGAATTGAATCAGATAATAACTAAATTTGTTTGGCAGGGGAAAAAGCCTCGGATTAAAAGAAAGATGATGCAGGAGATAAAAGAAAGAGGGGGCCTGGGTTTACCCTGCTGGGAGAATTATTATTCAGCAGCTTTGTTAGTATGGGTAAAAGAATAGATTACCTTGGGTAACAATTGTCTTCTTAAATTAGAAAGTTATGATTTACAACAAGGTTGGCATATGGCCCTCTGGAGAGACAGTAATCCACAAAGCAAATGGTTTACTAGACATTACATAAGAAACATCTTAATTCGAAACTGGGAAAAGATTAGCAAAAAAATGTTATATTAAAACTCCGTGCTGGATATCACCGGTGGAAGCACTGACATATCCCAAAATCTACAATCCGACAAAGAAATTAATATATAAGGAGTTATTGAATGCACAGGGAAATTTAAAATCTAAACAGGAATTGAATTCTTTAGGAATACAAGTGGACTGGTGGACTTACTTACAGATTCAATCTAAATTTAAGAAAGATAGAGATGGGAAAGGCATACATGTGGACCTACAAGAAATAGACAAAATTTTGATGGGACAAGAAAAAGGCATGATTGCAAAAAGTTACAAATTATTAATGAGATTAGAGATAGGTGAGGAGATAATCAAAGATACAATGATTGCCTGGGGGAAAAATTTCAGTTACCCAATTCATTTAGACAAATGGCAAGGGATTTGGTGTGAGAATATGAAACCAGTGGTATCCACGGCATATAAAGAGAATATCTATAAGATGATATACAGGTGGCACCTTTCCCCTGATAGATTGGCTAAAATGTTCACTGGACAATCGGCGGAATGCTGGAAATGTGGGCAGGAGAGAGGCAGTTATTATCATCAATGGTGGACATGCCCGGAAGCAGTTAAATTTTGGGGAAGAATTAAAAAATGGCTTAATGAGATTGTAAACCAAAAGATTGATTGGGCTCCAGAGACATGCTTGCTTGGCTCCAAACCAGATAATATAAAAAAAGATTTATGGTATTTAGCGCTACACATTATCACAGCAGCGAGATTGATATACGCATAATTTTGGAAAAACCAAAATATCCCATCGGAGGAAGCAACTATAAAAAAGATTTTGGAATGTGTGGAAGCAGATAAATTGACTAAAAAATTAAAAGAGAAAGATTTAACTCAAACATGTTTATCCTGGGAAAAATTATATACTTGGTTAGCGAAAAGAAAGATACAACCCAACTGAAAAAAGGAAAAGTATTTCTTGAGAAACCTATATTATATTAACAAAGTGAGGTCGGATAGACCTAATTAATGTATAAAGAGTGATAAGTCGTTCTGTCTCCCTCGGAATATAATGTACTTGTAGATATGTTTGTTATTTGTTACGTTGTCTTGTATGTTATTTATATGGTGTGTTGTTTTTTGTGTGTGTGTTCTCTTTTTAATGAAAAATGTAAATAAAGACTATTTTTTTTAAAAAAAAAACTTTTTAAATAAAAAAAAAAACAATCAAAACCCATTCACACCATTCATGGCTGGATCTTGCCAGATCTCAACAGCGAGGTCAATGGCCCCAGGCCTGCCGGAAAAGTCAGGTCTTCACCGCTTTTCGGAAGGCCAATAGGGTGGGGATGGTCTGGACCTCAGGAGGTAACTGGTTCCAGAGAGCTGGGGCAGCCACAGAGAAAGCCTTCCCCATGGGCCCGCCAGCTGGCACTGTTTAGCTGACAGGACCCGGAGGAGACCAACTCTGTGGGATCTTACTGGTCGCTGGGAGCTATGCGGTAGAAGGCGGTCTCAAAGATAACCTGGCCCTGAGTCATGTAGGGCTTTAAAGGTAATAACCAACACCTTGAATTGTGACCGGAGACCAATAGGGAGCCAGTGCAGCTCATGGAGAATTGGTGTAAAGTGGGTGTATCTAGGTGCACCCACGACAGCTTGCACGGCTGTGTTCTGGACCAACTGTAGTCTCCGAACACTTTTCAAGGGTAGCCCCATGTAAAGCGCGTTGTAATAATCTAACCGTGAGGTGACAATGTCCTAACTTTCACAGAAGTAATTACATAATATTTCTATGTCTACTTCTAAAGAAATAGTTCAATAAGGATGACTCAGGGCATCCAACTTTAGATTGATAGGTTGGTTGATTCACTCCAAACGAGATTCTCCTGAAAAGAAGCTAGCCTGTTAAGCAGAGTAAGCCATTGAATCTGAAATGTCACCAATATCCTAGTCTTTGCAAATTTCTCCCCACAAATATATATCATTGGATTTCATCCCATGCACATAGCACCAGTTCAATAGTTGGCCTGGATTACCTGGCCTGGATTCAGGAATATTTCTAATGTCCTTCTGGGCAGTGACCATACTATAAATGTAACAAACATTTGGAAATGAATGATGCTCTACAATACTGTAAATTGACAGAATTATTTGTACTGTTGATAGAACCTAGGAAGAAAGATGAAGGAAGTCATTGGAACTCTACATGTTTTTTATTTCCCCCTTAGCTTTCAGCAACATGTAACGTGGATGAATCTCTATTCAATGACTGGTACACTGGGCACTTGAATTTCCAGATTGAACATCAGTAAGTACAAGCTGTATGAAAAGGCTGAACAGTATATAATGCAGCTTTTGTACAGCTTTTGTCACCACTAAGCAGCACCTGCATATTATGGTCCAAGTTTTAATCCAAATGACGGCTATTGCCAGGAGTTTTGACTAGTTCTAAAGAAAGCAGATCTATTCCAGACTGGACTTTGGGATCTATCCTGTAAAAATGCCTATAAACAGTATTTCATATAAAATGCAGCACTGAAACTGATGTCTATGAGACACAGTGGCACAGTGGTTAGAGTGCAGTATTGCAGGCTACTTCTGCTGACTGCCAGCTGCCTGCAATTTGGCAATTCAAATCTCACCACGCTCAAGGTTGACTCAGCCTTCCATCCTTCTGAGGTGGGTAAAATGAGGACCCAAAATTGTTGGTGGCAATATGCTGACTCTGTAAACCGCTTAGAGAGGGCTGTAAAGAATAGAATAGAATAGAATAGAATAGAATAGAATAGAATAGAATAGATAGAAATAGAATAGAATAGAATAGAATAGAATAGAATAGAATAGAATAGAATTTTTATTGCCCAAGTGTGATTGGACACACAAGGAATTTGTCTTGGTGCATATGCTCTCAGTATATGCTCAAAGCACTGTAAAGCAGTATATAAGTCTAAGTGCTATTGCTATTGCGCTTTTCATATCTTACTTCTAGTTATATAGCAGATCAAATGGTTGATAATTATAATTCATTTCTGTTCCAAGTCAAATGCTGGCTTTTACCTTTAAAATTCTTAAGAGTACAAAACCTGTGAGCACCTCCACAGTATTACTGAACTACAGCTCCTAGTACCCTAATACAAAGGGACTCATTAGGGAGGATCATGGTTCAGCAATAATCAGAAGGACCTCAGTTTTTTTATCCCTGTCCAAAACTCTTTGAGAACCAGACAGGTGAAAGTTATCCCCTTCTGTATCAATCTGCCTGTATGCAGTACTGAGTAGGAAAGGAGAACTCTCCAGCATTGAGATGGGAAGGGCAGTAATAACAGCAGGATCCAAATTACAGAAGTATCTTCTATCTTCTACAGAAATCTTGATATTTTCCCTCTCTTTCCATAGTCTTTTTCCAACCATGCCTCGACATAATTATTATAAAGTGGCTCCCCTGGTGAAATCCCTCTGTGCCAAGCATAACATTAAGTATGAGTGCAAGCCCATACTCACTGCTTTTGCGGATGTATTCCGGTAAGTATGAGCCAGGGGTGAAATCTTTTTTTTTTTTTTGCTACCGGTTCTGTGGGCGTGGCTTAATTAGTGGGTGGGGCTTGGTGGTAAGGTGACTGGGTGGGCGTGGCCAAGTCAATGTCACTTCTTTGCCCTTTTTTAACCTACAAAACACAACACAACACAACTGGCTCACCCACAATGTAAAAGCAGCTGTGCTAGACTCAAAATGGCCCAGCAACAAGCAGGAACCTCAGACAGCCACAAAAAGCCCAAAAAAACCAACTTTCACACTTTACACACACAAAATTCCACATACAGCTTTGTGAGATTTTGTGTGTTTGTGTAGTTAGATGAAACTACAGAAACACACTAAACCTCAGAAAGCTGCACAAATATTTTATTTTATTTTTATATAAAAGCAGCTAAATTTAAAACTTCCTAAACTTTAAATGGCTAGGTCTAAAAAAAAAACAACTAAAAAAACCCCCAATTAACTATTTTTTTTAAGCTCCCAAAGGGGAAAAAACCTTACCCAATAGAACAGGGGTCTCCAACCTTGGTAACTTTAAGACTTGTGGACTTCAACTCCCAGAATTCCTCAGCCAGCTTTGCTGGGAGTTGAAGTCCACAAGTCTAGGCAGGAAGGCAGGCAGAAAGAGCTGCTCACCGATGAGCTTGATTGCAGGCAGGGAGATTCAGTTACTTGGTGATGCATGGATTGCGATCGTCATGTGATCGTCATGCGATCAGCAGCTAAGGTAAGCAAGCTGGAGGCTGGGAGAGCGGGAGGAGAGAAAAAAAGAAACTTTTTTTCTTTTACATGGCTCTGGTGATCCAAGCTGAGTTGCCTGATTAGTAGGCAACTCAGCTGGGATGTCAGAGCTTGGCTGGTCAGAGCCATTTAAAAGGGAAAAAAGGCTTTGATGATCGCAGGGCTCAGTTGGGCATGGGGGGCGGGGGCATGGATTTTTGCTACCGGTTCTCCGAACTGCCCATCGCCATTGCTACCTACCCGCCCGAGCCGGTCCGAACCGGGAGCATTTCACCCCTGGTATGAACCAACAGGAAAAGGGGCATTTGCAGGCATGTCATCAAGTGAGGATCAGTGGGGCAAGTGGACAGTAGTATGAAAGAACTCACTGCTGTGAAAATGTGCTTTTGATGAATGTGTTCCCTGTTCTTTTTTCCTCTGCAGCTCCCTGAAGGAATCAGGAAAGGTCTGGCATGATGCTTATTACAAGGAATATGTCGAGCCCCAGCCAGGACTCGCCATCACTGGGGACCTGGGGCCAATTGGAGCGCCCACCTGAATGCCTATGACGGTGGGGACAGCTCCACACAGCTTCCCGGAGCTGAATTACCGGCACTTTCCCATGACGTTATGGCTGCGCCATCGGGATCATCACGGTGCTCAACAGCTGATGTGGGGAGGGGGAATTTTGAATGCCGGATGGTAGTTTAGGAGCCGGGGAGGAAATAAATAGCACTGCACGGCGGTTGTGTGTAGTGCTGACTTAAACCCCGTGATCCGGCTCATTCTGTTCTTCTTGCTGTGTTGCTGCTAAACCTTGATTAAACTATTGCCACTTGACATCGTTTCCTGGTGATTTTTGACAGCCACGGACTGGATGAGCGACAGAGCCAAGAGAATAAAATCAATACAACTGAGGAATTGGGATAGCTTCATTGTTATTCACACCTGCCTTTGTGATTTTAAAATAATTTAAATAATAGTTTGTTATCTATTGATTATTTTATAATGTTGTTGTATGCAATCCATGAGATGGATAGCCAGATACATTTAAGGAATGTATAAATAAATAATCCTGAAAAGAAATCTCGTGCTATCTTCCCAATCAGCAGCACAAGTATTCTTCATCGATGGATGGATGGACGGACAGACGGAGTGCCAGTGGTGGAATTCAAATTTTTTTACTACCAGTTCTCTGGGCATGGCTTGGTGGGTGTGGCAAGGAAAGGATACTGCAAAATCTCCATTCCCACCCCACTCTGGGGCCAGCCAGAGGTGGTATTTGCCAGTTCTCTGAACTACTCAAAATGTATGCTACTGGTTCTCCAGAACCTGTCAGAACCTACTGAATAGCACCCCTGGGATGGATGGACAGAGAGCCGGACAAGCAGACTAGAGAAGCAGAGGTCAAAGTGTGGTAAATGATCTATTCCACAAAGAACCATCCAAGATGTACTCCCAACTACAGTGTAACAACACAGTAACATGAAAGCCGCCAGCAGCAAAAACTGAACAATACTGGAAGAATATATGGGAGAAAGAGAAGACACATAACACCAGTGCAATGTGGCAGCAGGACCCAAGAACAAACCATAACAAAATCCCAGAATAGGAACCATCACATCACAGAAGCAGATGTACAACAAGTCTAGAACATGAAGAGCTAGACACCACCTGGTCCAGATGTGTTAGTGTTTAAAGAAACCACTAACAGGAGAGCATGAATCCTGAGCAGCACAGCTGAATCAGCTTCTAGCCATAGGTTCTGACCCATACCTGCTAACACAAAAAAAGGACAGCTCTGATCATGAAAGACCCCATACGGGAAAGGTACCATCCAACTATTGGTCAATAACCTGCCTACCCACAACACAGCTGTCCTATGAGATATCATAGCCACCAGCTTACAACTCAATGCTTCACACGTTGTCTGTGAATGCCTGGGGTTATACAAGATCAACAGGACACTAAAGACCTTCCCTTAGGAATTTAAGGGGTCTGGAAGAAAAAAACTGGAAATCAACTCAAGAAAGTTGAAGAAACAGCTCAAAGGAAAGAGCAAGATCCACACTATCAACACTTATGCCCTGTCTGTCATCAGATACCCTGCCAGCATAATGAGCTGAGCAATGCAGGGCATGGAAGCTGCTGATGTGAAGACCTGGAAACTCCTCACAATGTATGGAGGTTTCCATCTAAAGTCCAACAACACAGAAACTACACCACTTGGAAAAAGGGTGAGCGAGGTCTGGTAAGTGAGAAAACCACTGTCTTGGATGAAACTGAGAGCATCTTGATGTAAATCAATAAGATGGCACCCAATGATGAGCTGCTGAAAGAATATCTGAACCAGCAACAGATGTGGGAGGAAGATCAAACAAAGGAATGCCATGCAAGAGAAGACCCTGCATGGGATATTCCATTGATAGATAATTGAGATGGCAGACATTGGGAAATCCTACCAGTGGCTGGAAAGGGATGAATTAACAGGTGCCTTGCTCCAGATCCACAGAAGCAGGGATGTACCACATTAGACAGGATCCAGTCTGCAGTGCAGACTATGCAAAGAGGCCCGAGAAGCAATCCTACACACAGGTGTCAAATTCGTGGCATCACATTGCCATTACATGACATATTATACTTTTCCCCTTCTCAGAGCTGGGGGGCGTGGCCTACATGTGATGCATCCAGTCCACGGGCCACCAGTTTGACAGCCCTGATCTAACACATAGAGACAGGGTGTAAAATGTATGCAAGGACAGCATCATTGCATACTGGTGGGTTGCTCGCAGTTCGGTCTGGTTCTTGCAAACCAGTAGTAACAGCAGCGGGAGGCTCCGCCCACCTGCTTGGATGTCATGAATGATCTGCGCATGCGCAGAAGCTTCTGTGCATGTGTTCGTGCGCGTGCTCCCATTGTGAACTGGTAGCGGTGGTAAGTAAAACCCACCCCTGGACAGCATACCTTGAATGGTGCAACCAAGTAGTTGGCATTGTGTACAGGAATATGTATACAGTGTATGAGGCTAGATTCTTCCAAGCCCAGATGGGAGATTCCACAGAAGATTGTGGAGAATAACAGGACTATGATATTGTGGGACTTCCAGACTGACAAGCAGGTACTGGCCAATCAACCAGACACCATGGTTATAGACAAACACCAGGAGACAGCAGTGATGATAGATGTACTGTACAGTACTGTGCCAAGTGACAACAATATCAGAAAGAAAGTGTAAGAAACTGGAGAAGTATTAGGACCAGAAGGAGGAACTGGAGCAGGGGTGGGTTCTATTTACCTTTACTACTGGTTCGCAATGGGAGCGCGCATACACAGATGCTTCTGCGCATGCGCAAATAATCAATTATGACATCCAGGCGGGTGGGCAGCCGCTTTTACTACTGGTTCTAAAGAACCGGGAGTAACCCACCACTGAACTGGAGAGGATGTGAAAAATAAAGGTCAAAGTAGTCTCAGTAATATGAGGAGCACTGGGAGTTATGGCTCCTAACCTGGGAGAGTGGCTCTAACAGATCCTAGGAATAACATCAGAGTTCTCTGTCCAGAACAGTGCTGTGCTAGGAACAGCTAAGATTCTGCATACTCTCAAGCTTCTAGCAGAGGAGCTGAGATTGGGGGATTACTGTATACCACTCATAGAATGGGGTGGGTGGGTGTAAAGATATTAATAAAAAAATATAATATATATTAGGTATGAGAGAAATATAATAAATATAAAATATAGTGCAACTGCTTTTTATGCATCACATTTGGTTTCAAAGTTAAGCAAGATCAGGCTAAGTAAATCCTTGGAGGGTGGGGGAAGGCATCATGAGGAAATATCTGTAGGTTACATCATGGAGTTGAAACAAATATTTCCAGAGAAGGCAATTCAAAATAACTCCCATGCTGTTGGCTATCTTTATACATCACATGAACAGGTGAATAATTTATTACCATCTCTGATATCAACATCAGTTCTCCAATCAACTTTGTCATATTATTACAGCTGCATATATTAAATAACTATTGCATAAAACAGTTTTCCCATAAGAATTACTCAACTGCATCACTGGGAGATTTCTCAATAGAAGCTGAACTCGCAACCAGAAGTATTCTGCATTTCCTTTTCTCCAACTCCAATCGGTTTTCCAGTTTTGACTGTAATCGGAATGAAACTGTAATGAATCTATATTTAATATTTTTAGAAAAAAGTTTCCCACAGTAATTCACCTCCCAGCATTCAGTCAACTGAATCAAGGTTGAGAGGGGAGACCAGTGGGAAAGCCGTCCTCAAACTGGATTCCATAGGTCTGTTTTGTGGAATGTGGAGTGTAAATTATCTAGATGAATGCTAGGAGCATAGATGTTTAGGTGGTAAGGATATATCAGGAGTATCGCTCTTCTTCTCTGCCTTCCTTTTAAAATAACCAATCACATTGAATATGTATAACACATTAACATTAAGCAACTAGTGCTTAAGCATTACAGAAGTTAGGTCCTTGCTGGTCTCTGAACATGGTTGTTTTTTGTTTTGTTTTTAATTTGATTTATATGCCGCCCTTCTCTGGAGACTCAGGGCGGCTTACAATGTGCTAAGCAATAGCCTTCATTCTTTTGTATATTTATACAAAGTCAGCTTATTGCCCCCACAACTGGGTCCTCAATTTACCTACCTTAGAAAGGATGGAAGGCTGAGTCAACCTTGAGCCTTGGCGAGATTCGAACCTGCAGTAATTGCAGGCATCTGGTCTTAATAACCAGCTTAATAACAGGGTGCCTTAGACCACTGCACTACCAAGGCTCTTTTCTTGCAGACATTTCATTACTATTAGCAAACGATAATAAAAAATGAGCAAACAATTCAGATAATAGAGGAGAAGGAGTAGAAGAAAGAAGGGAGGAGAGAAATCATCAAATAATACAAAGAGATAGAAGAGACAGTAAAAACAGAGCAGAGAGATTATCTTTCAAGTGGCCAAAATGTAGAAGAGAGCAAAGAGAAATTTCCCATAGCAGAGATGAAAGAGGTATTGATGGGTATTTTAGAGAGCAGACAACAAGAGGCAATGTAGAGGCAGAGAAGATATTTAGATTAAACATGAGTGATGTAGAGGAATGCAAGATCCCAAGGGAGGAGAAAGGTAGATTGATCAAAAAGTCAGTAAGAGTTGAAATACTAAAAAGGGCAAGAGATGATGGATAGATACAGAATACATCTTAAAATGGGATTTGTTTTATTAAAGATTAGAAAATAGAGCTAGAAACTAAAAATTGGGAAAATGTTATTATACATACTATTACACGATAGAGGTTACTATAGTTACTATGTATAAGTAAATGTTAGAAATTAAGACTATTATTATGTATGCTCAAAAAGTAAAAAAATAAGAGATGATGGATAGATACATAATACTTTTAAATATGGGAATTGTTGTACTAGGGGTTAGAAATAAGAGACAGAAGAGACAGAAAGGGACTTCCAGTTACAACTGCGGCAAGAACAGCTGGAAAATAGCGGGCTCTACCGAGCCCCGGAAAAATCCAGCTAGTAACCATTGTCAGGAGACCCTTCGGGGTCACAGCTGCCTTGTAGGGACGGTGAAGGAAGGAGAGGCGCTTTGCTGACCATGAGGAATCTGCAAATTCCTCATTAGTTCTGAAGCAAGTTCTCCCCAAATGGTAGCAGGCATTGCTGCCATTGCTGGCAGCCATGAAGCTGGGACAATTGGAGACCAAGATTGTGCAGGAGTGGTGTATAGACAGAACATGGAAATTGGGTGAGACATTTACCAACTTTTACTTTAATGACTTGCAATAAGAAAAAGAATATGAAAAGAAA